AAAAAATTATAAAATGATAAAATTAATCAAAAATATAATTATTATATTATTATTATTACTTGTTAAATAATTTAAATAATTTAATAATATTTTTTTAATAAAAATAAAAAATTTTAAATTTAAATTATATAGCATATAAATGATATATGTAAATATCTAGATCTCGTGACCTACTGATTATATATTTAATCATAAAATATATATCTAATCTCATAATTAGAGTTTAAAATTAAATTCCCCACTCCAAAAATTATAACTTGTTAAAAATTGAAAAAATATTTTTTATTATATTCTTTGTGTAGCATTCTAAAAAACCTGTGTGCCATAACCCAATCCTCCCTGGGCGACGCTGAAAAACAAGGAAAAGACAACTTTTGAGGAAAGGGACAGGACAGTCCTGTTGGGCAGGGCAGGGCAGAGGATAGGGTTTGAAGAGCAATCGGGCAAAATTTTAGTGAGAACAGAGTTTTGGGAAAAAAAAAATTTATTCTTTGTTTTATCAAGAATTCTCTGCTCATCTTGTTTGTTTCAAATTTTGGGTGCGTTTGACTAGGCCTATTCTTCAATTTGTTCATAAATTAATTTTTAATTAATTAATTAAATTTATTCACTTAATATTAATATTAATATTTATTTATATATTGTTATAATAAAAAAATATTATTTTAATATTTTTAAAATCAAACTATCATGATTTTTTACGTCATCCTCTCATGATTGTTTTCCGGTTTTTCTAACTCTCAGCCAGCATGCATGAATGCAACGTACCACCCGCAAAATTCCCAAATTTAAACTCCCAAAAACAAATCAAATCAACAAGGTAAAAACTCTTCTTAAACCCTCAAATTTATCCCAAAATAATATTTAAACCCTTCAACTAAAAATAAAATAGTTAAATCCTTTAACTCCGTTAATAATACAAATAAATTCTTTTTATTCATGGATATTCATGCTTGCAAAGTGATATCAAACATGAAATACCATTTGATCTATTTGTAAGAAGAATTTATTTATATCAACAATGAGGTTAAAGTACTTATTTACTTTATTTTTAGTTTAAAAACTTAAATACTATTTTGAAATAAGTTTGAGTACTTAAAAAGGTTTTTACCAATCAAAAATGGGTCTCCCTCTCTCCTCCCCCAAGTCCCTCCAACACTATACCTGCAATTATGATTCCGACCTTTCAATCCAGCGGCCCAAGTTGTACTTACCAAAGTGGTCCCCTTCGCCCAGGGATGTCGTCTCCTTCCCACCACCACCACCACCACGAACCTTGTGTGACAGCTGCATGTGGGGTCATGCCTCAGGACCAATCACCTTCCTCGGTTTTGCCACGTAGGCACAATCCGACGGCGACATGCCCACCTGCGACGCTCGTGCCCACGTTCTCCAACAGTGATTTCTGTTTCTATTCAATCATGAGCTCTCTGTTTTATTTACGATTTTGCCCCTGGTTATTTTTTTTTACACAATTATTTTAATTTCGATTTTTTTTTCCTTTAGATGATTATTATGTCTTTGCTTAAACCCCTAGTTATCGACAAATTTAGGTGTTAAAATGATATCAATCCCACTAATCAAGATGATTTCTTATCTTAAACCTATTTGGTTGGTGAAGTAGGTAAGGAGGAATATAAATGATCCTATATGCATTTGTGAGTTTCATAAAGTATATTAAAATGATATATTTTTAACATGTTATGATATAATTATATGCATAATTATATTTTTAAAAATTATTTTTTAATAATAAATTATACAATAAAATAAAGATCTTCATATTTAAAAGTTGATTTTAGATTTTTAGTTGATATGTATGTGCATACTCATGTATATGCATTTGTTAGTTTTGATTATGTCATTATTAAAAAACCATCATAATTTTATTAATAATATTTATTAACAACAATTAAATTACATTAATCAAATGGGTATATATTGATTTTCACCTCTTATCGAATGAAACAAGCTAATAAAAAGTATTATTGACATCTTATTGTCAACAAATTGTTTTCAATTAAAAAGGAGAGAATGACGGTACCGCATAATTGGGCCATTTAATTAATGACAAATAACTTAATTTGTTTGTTTGGAACTTGGAGTATCATTGCATAGTTGCTTTCTGATAAACCGCTCTAACCAAAAAGTAGATGCTTCCAATCCTTGACATTGTTACTTCCTTTTGGAATATAAATTATGCAAGGGAAGTATATATGCGAAGTTTTACCAATATATATATATATATATATGCGAAGTGAAATTTTGTTTGGGTGTCAAAATGCACATAATTCGAGGTGTTTGAATTTTTGTGAAGCGGTTGATTTACCATTATTGCAACATCCCTTATGGAATTTAACATGTTACATGGTTGGAACACCTATGCCCCTCTCCCCCCAAAGTGAAATTGAGCAGTCATTTTCATCAAATCGGGATTAAAAATATGGTATAATAATAAAAAAAAACCCCCCCCTCAATTATGAAACTATTATTTATAACAACTCCCTCATACTAAAAGAATAAAAAGGGTATTGATTTTAATTATTTAGTAAATAATTTGGTTCGTCATATAAGTCTTTAAAATGAAAAAATTTTAAGATTTTTAATAAAAAAATTTACATTTATAAATTAAGACAAGTGGAAAAAGGAAGAAGAGAACTATTTAGCCGCCACAAACCAACAATAGAATAGTTAAGTGCTTAAGATCATAGCAATTATCACACATTCAAACATATCAATAAATTTTATAAGCATGCTAATAAGATATTAGAGTGGTTAAAAAAATACATAATTCTTAAAGAATGCTTTTCAAATGTAACAAATAATTGATATTTGAGTGATTATAATTGTTATTAATTATAATTCAATTAATTTTATCTTTTCAATTAGATTTTTTTTTATACGTCAAAGGTTTAATTATTTGGCATAACAAATATTTGAATACATAATCTTAAATGTAAATTTTTAATTAATAAATATCAATTCAACTAAATTCTTATTGGTATCTTCTCAATTAAAATTACCATTTGATAATTATAAATGAAACAAACACATCCACACCATGTTTTTTTTTTTTCCCCAATAACCAAACGGCCTCTTAAAAATAGTAGTAGTTTTAGGAGTAGCATCAAGTCAAGGACATTTTAGACATTCCACATTTGTTTATCATACAATCTATCCAGTTCGTCCGAAACTACGTCCTACTTTTAAACCCTTCACTGCTCCACAGCCATAATGCAACCTCAATTTTCTCAAACTCCCCCTTTCCTCCGGAAACCTACTTCCATCTTTACACCTTTAAGCCTCAGAATTTGTCACTTCTTTCTTTGTTTCCCTGTAAGCTAAAGTTCCTTAATCAAAGTCAGTGCCTTTGTCTCTTTCAGGACTCCCCTTTCACTGCTGCTGAGTCTGAACTCTAGTGACAAAAGGTATGGTTTTGACATTCAAAAGATTTGATCTTTTTTGTTTTTGGATTTTGGGTTAGTTTGTTTTTTAATGGCTGAATTCTTGAAATTCTTGAAGCTTTGATTGTTATGTGACGTTTTTGTTTTGTTTGTGTGATTGTGGATGGGATGTTGCTGAGTTCTGTTAGATCTCTGTGTTGGGTGAAGTGATTGTTGTTTCTTCAATGATTCCTCTTGTTTTTGACTGGAATTTGGAAAGATTCAACTTTTCGCAGCCTAATGCAGCAATGTAGCTGGTCATGGATTAAGATAGGTGATTTTTTTCCTTTTATGAAAGCATACCAAATGATGGGAGGATTTCTACTGCTTTTGACTCTGTTTGGTTGCAGAGAAATTGCAGGAAAAGAAACAGCTTGTGATTCCTATGAAATATTCCGTTTAGTTTAAATCTTGTCCTTTTCTCTGGGGGCTCAAAGACGTTGGATCATTTTGGTTCAAATGTTCTGAGATTGGATCTATCGTTCTTTTATTTGTTTCTCCTTCATTTTCCCTTGTTTTCCTGAAGATTTTCAATGCTGTGCTGGTTTTGTAACTTGTATTTTAAAAGACTTCAAATTACAAATCTATTGATTTTCATCAGTAGGACTCATTTTATATTGAATCTTGTCTATTTTATTGCATGCTTGGTTGGAAATGAATATCATGCGTAGTAAGCTAAAGGGTAAACTAGCCTTTATTTTTAGTTGATATGCTCTCATACTGAAGTTTCAGCAACTTAGATTGATTGGTTGGGTGAGTTAACTCTCCCCAGCTCGATTGCAGCATCTAAGATGGTACTGTAATTGCAATTTTCTATTGATATCATAATTTTCTAGAGGATGGATTCAGAAAATGGTGTGACAGTGGAAGAAGAGAGCATTGCCATGGAAAAATGTTATGCAGAAAAATCCCTTCAGGAAACGAAGAAAGAGGAAGAGAATGCTGATAATGGTGAGGAGGTTTTGAAATTGAATGAAACCTACAAGCAAGTTGAAAATTGTGAAAGTCTTGATCCATCTGGTGTGGCACGCAAATCTGTGGTAAATGTATCAGAAAGTAAAATCTCAAAACCCTTGAAGGTACTATGTACCATTCTTTCAAAGTTTCTTCATTTAAGCTGTTCTTTTGTTTTGGTGGTACTTCTACAGAACTATTTTTAAATATTCCTTTTGTTTTCTCTTATGAATCTGTCTTCAACAGAGCAATGGCAAATCAAAGAATGGCAAAATTTCAAAGGACAAATCTAATCTGAGAGGCATGGTTCCAGCTTCTCATAAGCAAAGGCCAACACTGTTCCAGAGTCTTTCGTTTCAAGCAAGAAGAGCTAAGGCTGATGGTATGAGGAAGAGCATGGATGGATACCCTGGGAAAACTGATGTTAAAGATCCCCAACCAAAAGGCACAAAAGAGCAGGCTGCCTCTTCCAGTGAATCCAATAGTTTGTTGTCCTGTTTAAGTGAGGCCAACAGAAGTGCATCCCTTGCTCTGGACTCAAAGTCGGCAGATGGAAATGGTAGTGGGGTTTCTGGCAGGAGGTCTACTATAGGATCTTTACCTAGCTTTCGCCAGACTGTGGTAAGGTTTTTCTGATAATTTTGTCTCCTCATCTTTCTCTGTGATTTCTAATTGCCTTTCCTTAATATTTTCATTTTTAATGCTTGTTAGGCTGCAAAATCTGGTTCTGCAAATGTAGCTGCTAAGTCTGATTCATCCAAAGTTTCTCAGTAAGTCAAATTCATCTACCAAACACAAATGTCTGTTGAATGGTCTCTGTTGGTTCCAAATTTTTTGAAATTCATTTGTCCACATGGAAAGAACAACTTATTCAAAAAGAGGCACATTCTTGTGCCCCACCCCCCATCCCCTTTTCAATCCCCCAAAACTCAATAATGTAAACTTGGGGGAAGGATTCTCACTTATTCTGATATGGTACTATTTCTGCTGTGTTTTTATAATTGCAGATCGACAGAACAAAACTCAAAGCCCATAATAACTGCATCACCAAGCAAAGATGATGATGATGATGCTCATTCTACTACTTCGTATTGTCTTTATCTCATATGCTAATAGTCTCCATGCAACTTGTACACTTTCTGCATAGTCTTTAATATCAGTCTATCTGTGTTATTTTGTGTTATCAATAGAAGTGCCACTCTTAGTGGAAGAAGAAGCAGTGGATCAGGATTCACCTTCAGGTTGGAGGAACGTGCTGAAAGGAGAAAGGAGGTTGGTTGTCTATTTGCTTAAGTTTCTTTATTGCCTTGCTGTTAGCTTTCATTGAGTGCATAATTGATCGTCTTACAACCTTTTCCTCCAGTTTTTTTCGAAGCTAGAAGAGAAGATACATGCTAAGGAAATAGAAAAAAGTAACTTGCAGGCAAAATCAAAGGTCTCTATACTTAATTTTCCTCTGTAGTTAAGACAATATCTCTTTATGTTCGAAGTTCTTTATTCCAATACATTCATTTTTGGCATTTTTTCAGTTCATTTACTTGTTTGATGCATCATGCAGGAGAACCAGGAGGCAGAAATCAAGCAATTGAGAAAGACCTTGACATTTAAAGCTACACCGATGCCTAGTTTCTACAAAGAACCTCCCCCCAAAGTTGAACTTAAGAAGGTAATTGATGTCTATCTTCATTCTTTTCAATGCTGGCAGTTAAACTTTTACCAGTTTCTTGCAAATACTATGTCATGAATTCCCACAACTTTATAGTACCACTCGATTTTGGATTACAAGACGTGTATCAAATGTTGTTGAGAATTATGCTAATTTCTAGCCCTTCTGTTCATCCTATTTTAATCTTGTGATATCTCTCAATCATTATAGATACCAACCACACGCCCAAGATCTCCAAAGCTTGGAAGGCACAAGAGCTCCAATGCTGCATCAAGCAATCCTTTAGAAGGTGATTCTTCTTGTTCTAGTCCACATCTGAGCCGAGAACAGAATAATTCAACTAAAGGGACAGATAGTAAAGGCGTCATTGCTTCCAAAAAGCCAGTAAAAAAGGCTCAACCTAAACCTCAATCCAAGGAGGTTACTAAAGATGAAGAAAATCCCAAAAAATCAAAACCAAAGAAGAAAGCTGTTGGAGAATGCTTGCAAGATGGTTCCATGGGGAAACCTGAAGAAAATCCTGTGAATATTCTCAGGTGTGAGGATGCAATATGTCCTGCTCCTGATAGGAATCCTGCTCAAAATGATGAACCTATTTCAAGTTTGCAGAGCCCTGAGATTATGACTCATGAAGTCGCTGTTGGAATGTGAAGATTATTGGAGTCTGTTTTAAGTTAAAATGTTTCATGCTGCTGTGAATATTATTGTTGTGAAGTTGATTTTGACATTCTTTTTGAAGGTTACTATACATAATATTGTAAGTTACATACATGTCTACAGGTTAATGTAATCATGTTTCCTTCATTACTTTATATGCAAGTGTTTGGCAGAACTGATTCATCTCATCTGCTGAATTTGTTAGCTATATATATGTTTCATCTTGACGTTATTTGGACTGCATCTCATGTTTGTGTGAGCAAAATCAGCATTGAATTTAAACCATTTAGCATCCATCTTCCTGATTTTCCTTTCTGGGGCTGCTCAGACTCCTGAGATTGAACATAGAAGCTACAATTTGGCCCTTTGATGGTAATTCCAGCATCTCTAAGAAATCACCAAGTACCTGGACAAGAGTTTGGCTTGACCATCTCCGAACCTTTAACTAACAAAGAGATGCATTTTTGGAAGATGTCAAAGATCAAGTGACATGCTTGCTGGGGAACTTGATAATTTGAAGAAATGGTTCTGCAGCGTGCCTTTGAGCCACAACTAGAGATGACCATTGGGTCAACTGGTCAAGTCCACTGCCCACGGAAGACTAGGAACAGTCAACGGTTCTAAGAATCGCGATCATGGCCATCTAGTGCTGTCTTGGACTAGACCCAGTCTTTCTCCTCTTTCTTTTTCTTTTTTTGTTTTTTTTAATCTTATATTACATAATAAAAAATATATCTCGTTTCTTATCTTATTGACATATTATATGTTTCAAATATAAAATTTTTTATTTTTATTAAAATAATAATAATTATTTTTTTATCTTATTTATATAATAAGAAGTGATTATTTTTTACAATATTATGTGATTCAAACTCAAAATCTTTTATTTTTAACTAAAAAAATGATCACTAAATTATTTAGATTATTAACTATTAATAAAATTATTATTAAATTATTTAATTCGATAATTTTTCTTATAATAGTTTTAATACCAATGGGATTTAGTCAATTAGACAACCTATGGTCAATTAAGGAGCATCCTCTGTGTAATTTCTTGTTGGCGTAACGACAAAAGCCTGAACCCTTCCAAACGTTGCAAGACTAACGTGGGAGAGTCGACAAATACCAAAAAATTCCCTTCGAAACGTATGCAAATAATTGATTATGCATCCTCTGTATAATTTCTCCTTGGCGTAACGACAACAACAGCACACCTCCGACTGTGAATGTGACACAACAACCTCAGTGTCCATTCGCCCTCTAACATTTTTTTTTAAAGGTTTTTATAACAAATAATATACACTTAAAATATAAATTAAAAGTCTTAAAAAAATAAAAATAAAATATTTTTTTTATCTTGATTATACAATGTAAAATAATTATCTTTTTTTCCTTATTTCACCTCCACCTACATGTCATGCTACTCAAACTTATGATTTTTTATTTTCAACGAAAAAAAATAACAACTGAATTATTTTAAATTATTGATAATAAAAAATAATATTTAATTTATTAATTATATAATTAAATTTATTCACATAATATTATTTATAAAATTAATATTTATTTTTATATTTTTTATATAAATTTATTATAAAAATATCCTTAATATGTCCCATAACATTGTTCAGCACTTGAAGGCCAACTGACCTCCCTGCCAGGCACCACGTGCTTAGGACTAGTTGAACTTAGGTTCAATCCCAAGTCTTCCCTTCCTCATCCCCCGAAAAAAATTCCCATTGTTCAAAAAAAAAAAAATTGTCTCATAACATTAAAAAAATCTTTTTTTTTTCAATGATCAAGTTGTGCCCAAGCCAACTACGTCGAAACCTTTTTTTCTCTTTTTAAATAATTTTAATAATAGACCCACAGTATTTAAAAAATTAATTTTCTTAGTGTATTCGGTCCCCCTAACATTAAATATGTAATGAATCAGCGTTTCAACAACAAAATCTGTGCTCCCTAGAGCCATTTCTATAACAATATACCAAAAAGAATACATAATGTCATATTTTGGGGGTTGATTCACAGGTAGTGAATGCAGAAACTAGCAAAACTGGAAGATGAAAAAAAGACAGGTCTTTTTTGGGGTAAACCATCATCATCTTACACACACAAAAAAAGAAAAAAAGAAAAAAAAGAAGATATGTAATTACAGTATTCATATCAAAATAACAACAAACTCTTTCTCCTGCCATCACCTCCCGCCCCCATGGTGTTTATGAAACAGAGTCTTCCTAGCGCCTGCAGGTAACAAGAAACTGAACATTGTTAGTGCAGGAGCAATGCGTTTTAATCAGATCAAGATGAAGGAAGAGGAAATGAGGTTTCACCTTTTTCTTCATGACTTTCTCTTTGCTTGTTCTCTATTTTGTTTACAACTTTTTACTTCTATGTATTCAGTGACATGAACGAAAATGCGAGTCCTGTCCAAATGCTCCCAGCATCCTACAAGCGACTTCCAGCAACTTACCTGCATAAACATGAGAAAATTTAATTAAAATCAACTAATGAAGGTTAGACCATCTGCATCACATGCTTAATCTAAAGTCAGAAACCAAGCAGGCAATTAAGACATGTAAATTGATTAATGATTCAATTTTCAAAGGTAAACTCGGCACCAACTAAAGAACCCCTTAAGCAAAATCTAGGACAGCTAATAGAATATGGAGAACAAGGACAGAACAAATCATGCCAGCTATATTATATAAGAGGAATACAGTGGAAAAGGCAATGGAATTAATTAGAGGCACGTATTCTGGTTGGCATGTTAGTGGGGTAGAAGAATATGGCTACCAGCTGGGCAGGCCAACATTGATTTTAAGTACTCCTTGGTCACATGGATTCCTTGGTAACATGGGAAATCAACAGTAAAAGAAACTGGTAATACCAAAGTAGTTAAAATAACCTTCCTCCATACCCAACCTAACCGCTTAGTTTTCTACTTTATCGTAGATTCAAGTAGTAGCAGCTGTGATATTGTGTATGCCATTTTCAAGCATCTTTTGATCATATCTTAATTTGCAGAATGCAAAACTAAACATCTAAGGGTGAATCATGGCCATTTGCGTTCTCTACAAGCATACAACAAATGATGATCACACAAATCATCACTTAATCAATCAATAATCACATCAAGAAACCATTCTCCAATATGGGATTTAATCAGAAAAAATACCAGCCTTTCCATATGCCACTTGCATCATCAAAAGACACCAAAATCATGAACAAGGATTCCATGATTTGACCTTCCCCAATCCCCACCACCAAAAACTTCCCGATCATCCACAGGAAAACTAACCAAATTGCAGCCTAAAAGTAATATTCTTAATGCAATTCCCTCTTACCAATCTGCCACACGGAAGTATATGGAACAATCTAAGTTCCTAGTCTTTCTTATTCATCAAAATCTTATCTTTCGACCAACAACTTGTCAAATTCCTAATTGAGTTACATGTTCTTTATGTTCATCACTCTTTCAACAAAAGGTAGACTATTCACACCGAGCCTAAGAGAATCCATAAGGAATTATATCTTTACGACCTCCCAAATCATCGAAAATGATATTTACCAACCAAACCAATTCCTTACATGATGTTTAGACTTTGAGAACTCAAAAATTTTCCAATTCATTTCCCAATTAATGATCTTATCTGTGTCAAGAAAATTCCCACGTGACATCTACTATCTCAGCAAAAAGGCACACAAAATTTTAACTTAAGTAATATAACAAAAATAGATAAAAGAAATGTTATGAAATTAAAAATAAAGAAAATACCTCTCCGGGGTTTGGTGGCAACCTTCACGGCGGAGGCCGGTTTTTTCACGGCCTCTTCCTCCGGGAACAAAACGCCATCAATCCCCTGAACGGAAATCCGCCCATCAGTATAGATATCCGGGTCGAACAAATACGCTGACCCTTCGCCGTGCCCGAACTTCACAGACCCATCAGCCTCCTGGGCCACCACCGTATGCGGCAGTCGCAGCGTGTCATACTTCACTTTCCCAAATCTCCTCACCGCATTGTACATACTCTCCTCCGTCTGGTACTCGGGTATGATGTGGTAGTAAATTATCTGCTCTGGCGCCCCTGGCTCGCTCAATTGATCGGTGGTGAGTTTCGCCATCGCCTCGTCATTCGGCGCCAGCACCGTCAGTACGTACCCTTCGGAAACTAATCGCCCCATTTCCGTTGCTAAAGAGGTTAGGTTCACCAGAATATCCGCCATTTCGTTATACCCACCGTAATGCAGTAGTGTCTGGATGAAGTCCTTGACCTGACTCATGCCGTCAAAGTGATGGTGGGGTCCACCCGGTCCAGGAGCCGGTGCCGGAGCAAGGGACGGACCTGGTGCCAACGCGTCGTAGATTGGAAGAACCGGTGGCGCGCCGACTGGAACTGGTGCTGCAGGTTTCTTCAGCCTGTGGGTCCGCGGGTCCACTTCCGGCGCACCCTCCGGTAAAACAGCCGATATCGACTGAAGATTGCGTCTCCGGTTGAAGTCCTCCTGAACAGACCGGGGAATCAAGAGCTGCTTAATCCCGTGGATAACACCGTCGGGTCGGGTCACGTCATCGGGTCGGATCACCTCAGCAGAATCCACCGTTTTCTTCCCGGAGCCACCGTTGGTCGTCAAGTGCACATGGTTGTCCCACAAAGTCTCGTGCTTGACCGACCCGGATTTCTCATCAGGCCATTCGCCGGTCCCGATTCGTTTAGGAATAATGTGAAACATCAAAAGCGTCTGAAGAGACTTCCGGTTCCCGGGCTCCAGCAAGAACCGCTTGAATTCCGGGTCAAGTTCCCGCTCCAACGCTTCATTTCTCGGCGCGAAAATGGTGATGTTGTGCTTTCCAACCGCTTCTTCGAGAGTCTGAAGAAGCAGAGCTTTCTCGACGAGCTCAGCTAACTCAGTGTAATGCGAGTCGAGTAGAGCAACGAGTACAGAGTTAGAGTTGATTTGGCCAGATTTTGAAGATGGGTTTTGCAGCAATGCAGTTGTAGGAGAAAAGAAAAGGAATATGACTAAGGCGGAGAAGAAGAGCTTGGTGGAGACACCATAGACGGGAGAATCCATGGTGCTCGATTTGGAGAGAATAGAATGCTGAAAACACTGAAAAAGAAGCACAGGACCCGGAAAAGTTTAGAGCTTTAATAAGAGAAGGGAGGAGGAGGAGAGGTGGCTACTTAAGGTGGAGAGAAGAGGAAGAGGCGGATGGGGGAGGGCTGGATTTTAAAGCAATGCAACAACTAGAGATGGAGAGTATTGCATTGAAATGGTAGGGATACTGAAAATGAGGACATTTTTTTTTTTAGGAATGGATGGCAAAGCCACTTCCAGTTCGGACAGGCTGTAGTGGGACCACGCGGAGAGCGACTGATACTGCTGCTGCTCTCTCGGCTTGCTTTGAGCCGCGCCATTTGGATTTTGTTTTTAAGCCCTCGGATATCACATGGTCTTTAATTGAGACTTTTTTTTTTTTTTTTTTCTATGGATCACTCGGTATTTGAAAGTTTATTGAGCCACTAATTAATTCGAATTCGAGTTTGGTAGGACTTAATGAGTGGCAAAACCCTCCCTCACAAATTTTAATGAAATTACATTCTTAACACTTAAAACTAAGATCTCTAGTTAAGCTGAAAGAGTTCCCTATCAACTCATCCATCTACTCGTAAATAATTCAGATCAATATTATGCAAGTAAAAAAAAAATTTATAAATTTTATTTTAATCTTTAAAATAATTAAGTAAATTCATATAATACTAATATGAATTTTAATAGAATAAAATGAACTAATTATTAGTAAATGGGATGTAAAAAATTGTATAAATTATTTCTTAATTATTTTCCTAAATTCAGCTTATAATAGTAATAGCTTCTTTTGTTTACAATTTTATTACTTGTATGTATTCAGTGACATGAACGAAAATGCGAGTCCCGTCCAAATGCATCTCATGTTTACGTGAGCAAAATCAGCACTTGAATTTAAACCATTTAGCATCCATCTTCCTCATTTTCCTTTCTGGGGCTGCTCTGACTCCTGAGATTGAAGATAGAATTTGGCGCTTTGATGGTAATTCCAGCATCTCTAAGAAATCACTCAGTACCTGGACAAGAGTTTGGCTTGACCATCTCAGCAACTTTAACTAACAAAGAGATGCATATTTTTGGAAGGTGTCAAAAATCAAGGGATATGCTTGCTGGGGAACTTGATAATTTGAAGAGATGGTTCCACAACGTGCCTTCGAGCCACAACTAGAGATGACCATTGGGTCAACTGGTCAAGCCCACTGCCCACGCAAGACTAATAACAGTCAACGGTTCTAAGAATCGAGATCAACGGTCAAAGTTTTTAAAGGTGCAAGATAGAAAAGCCTTTTTTTTTTTTTTTTTTTTTTATGAATAATGGAAAATTTTTTCATGGGAATGAAAAAAGGAAAAGGAGATACGGGATTAGAACCCAAATCTTGATAGTCCTAAACACGTTCTATAAGGAGGGGTTAGTAGATCCCGAAGTGCTGGATAGAAAAGTCTTGATTATTAGATGAGATGTAAAATTGTATAAATTATTTTTTAATTATTATCCTAAATTCAGTTATGGTAGTAATAGTTTCTCCTTTTTTTTTTATGGAAGAGATGTGTCATTGGTTGAATATATATTAAATATATGGAAAAAAAATATTTATTAGCCATACCTGTAAAATATTACGTAAAAAAGGATTTTAAAATCATATTATTTTAATAAATTTTTATTAAAAAAATTAAAATGTCAAAGTAAAAATATGAATATTTTAGTTTTCACCAATGATATTTTATTAAAATAACAACGTTTTAAATGTATTTCTATTTAATATTTTTACAAGCTCAGTTAATACATACTAATTATGTATATATATTTTAGGTTGTATATATTTATGAAGAAGTTTATTTAATTACTTTAATATAATTATATATTATATATATTAAAGACTTGTAAAAGTGACATATATTAAATGAGTAAATATGTATTAGTTTATATATGATTTGAAGTGAACAAAGTTAATTACAATTATAACACGTAAAAAATTAGAAAAATTATTTTCTTTCTTATTTAATATGTAGATAGTTCTTTTTTTTTTTTTTTTGTTATTAGTGCTTCTTGTATGTATATCAATAAGTATTATTTATATTAGTTTTTAAGATTCAACAATTACCATCAATTCCAACCTTTAGCACTTTGTTGCCAAATATTTATAGGGTAGGTATTGAAGACTAACTAAAATTTTGTCGAATAATGAAAATTGGGGTAACTAGATTCCTCTACATATATATTTTGTATTTCCTTCTTATATTAGTATTAAGGAGGCTTGCTTTTGTTTTTGTAGTAAGTGTAAAATAGGGCGGCGCATGTCTAGTAGTAAGTAGAATAGAAAAACCAGAAGGGGTTAGCACTTGCTATAAACTTTGAGAATAATGATAAATGAAATTAAAATTTAAAATTAATAATATAATATAAATTATATTATTTAAAATATTAAATATAAAATTTATATTATTTAATAATTAATTTTTTATTTTTTAAATTTTATAATATTATATATTAATTTAATAATATACATAAATCATACTATTAATTCTAAATTTTTATCCTCTTATCATTATTCAAACTATAATAGCATGTTTCCATTACCTAATAAAAAAAAAAACCAATAATATGTGAAGGGATTCAAGGGAAGCCGCGGCTCAGGACATAACATGTGGCTTAAAGGCAAGCTGTCGGTGTCCGACAATAGGCAAAAAAAAAATTAATGGACACTAATACCCTTGTTTTTACGCCAAGCTTAGCTACTCCACGCCACGCCACGCCACCCACTTGTCCCTTTCTCATTTTTCTGCGCGTGAACTTGGCGCTCAACTCTCTGATGTCTTTCCCACCGTTAGATTGCCAGTAACTCTCCAAGTCGTCTCTTCGGTCTTCGCGTTAGAATTTTCAGAGCAGACTTTCAGTATCATCCATCATTAGCGACGACTTAAACATAATTCGACACTCATCTTCTTTCAAAAGAAATTACAGGTTATAGAACGTGTCCGCTGGGTGCGTAGACCCAAATCCAATAATGCTTGTGACTTATTTAGTCAAGGTTTAAGGGGTTTTTTTATTTTTTATTTTATTTTTAAAAAATATTATTAAAAAAACTATAAGTTATAAGTTTTACTCATATAATATGTGATTTACATAAAATAAAGAATAAATTTTTATTATATAATTTAAAATAAAAAAATCTCATAAAGAATCAGATTCAAAAGAAATAAAAAACTATAAATTTAATTTATGTGATATATGACTTCTTCTTTTTTTTTTCCATTGAGGGTGAGAATCGAATTTTATATATTCAGTTAGCATAAGAATATGTTTACAAGAGATTAATAACTACTAGGTTACAAGATTGTTCTCAATTTATGTAATATATAATTAAGATAAAATAAATGATAAATTTTTATTTTATAATTTAAAATACAAAAATCTCATCCATTATTTAGGATTTTAACTTTTTTATTAAGATGAAATTTTTTTTATTATATTAAATAATAAATTATATAATATGAGTCAATCTTTTCTTATTCAAAATTTTCTTCACTTGTATCAAAATTTAACTTTAAAATTCTTAAGATAAAAATTTAAATTTCTACTCACTACTAAAACACCACCTAGAGAACGTGAATAAAAAGGAAAATGTTTAATAAAATTTTACATGTCACAAAATTCGCATCCCAAACTAGTGACCTTATATGAATCATAATCTTATTTAAGTAAGTCAATTAATTATTATTTTTATTGGCATATGGAATTATTATTGATTGGTTACATATTATATATATAAATTGTATTTCAGTATAAAAGATTCCATTTTCATGAGAGCTTCCTTTGGGATTCTCCGGCCAATGATTCGATATTAGACGCGCGAGCTTCTGTTGGTCTTTGTCTCCCATGGCATGATTGGTGTGGACATATAAATGCATATATGTAAGCGGCTATTATTGACAAATAATATGAAACTGCAAAAAATGAAAATGAATATCCTCAGGTGTAATCTCACTTTTTTTTAAGATTTAAAATACATAACAAAACTTAAAATTTTCTTTAAAACATTAGTTGTAAAATTTTGATTTTACATAGGATATTCCTATATGACATGAAAAATTCATTATTTGTAGAGATGTATTTCTATATAAAGACATCAACCTAAGTGCTTAAGTACCGAAGTGCCCATCTTTAATTATATATAAGAGATAAAGACTCAATTTAACTTAAATCTTATTTTTAATAAAAAATTAAACTTTTATAAATTCTTCTAAAATTTCACATATTTTTACCTGAGATATTAATATTTATAAACTATTCGAGAGTTATTCTCACACCGGTAAAAGGAGAACAAGGAGCATAAATACATATGAGAGTAGGTACGGTCAACTTCACCTTAACTAACAACTAGGCTTACAAAATTATACAATAAATTTCATGTTTTATAATTTAAATTATATTAAATTATAAAATTAATATTATTAAATAAAAAAATAACTTTTAATATTCAAAGACTTGACGGAGTTCTAATGGCACAACTTTTTTTATTTTATTAAAGAAGTAAATTAGAACTCTCTTTCAAACTTTTTGTGATTGAATTTTCATAACATTGGAAAGGGAAAGAATAGAATTAGGACTTTGAATACCATAAGAATGAAAATGGAAGAAAATGAGAAGGGCCCATGGGCATTGGACACCAGAAATGCAGGTGGCAGCACGGCCACATGATGTTTCCAATCAATGTGCTGGAACTTTCTTTCCCTTTGTCTATTTATTGAAGTGAAATTGAATTCTCCGGACAAGCATTAAAAGAAAAGGCCTTTTTAACGACCTAACAGCATGTTTGGCCAAGTTTATAAAATTTTTTTATTTTTTTTTATTATTTATGAGTGATAAATTTAAATTTTATGATAGGTGTGGAGATGTTTGAGAAGGAAAAATAAATTTTTATTATATAATTTAAAATAAAAAAAATCTCA